TTCGCCTTCTAGCAAGCTCGGGGACTACATCGGTACGATGCACCTGTCGGTGCATCTCGTATCGCCTGTACGATGATTGGGTTCTCAACTTAATTGGGAATTCTTTTTAGACCCTGGCACCACGTGCCTACGTCACCTACTACCAGGCTCGGGGACTAAGTGGGCACACTTTACCTTATGGTGAATATGTTTGTTTTTCGACCCTTACGCCTCTGATGATCAAGGATGCTACGCTTCAAGATCCACTTACATTTCTTTTCAGAAATACAAGTGGCCACACTTCATAGGATGGAAATCTTTTTCTTTTTTCTTAAGAGCACCATACATTCTTCGGACAGCCTACTTCTCCGGCAATAACGGTGGTCAAAATTGTCAAAAACTCAAGCTTTACTATTCTGAGATGGTTAAAGTGGCGTGTCGTAGCATAACACATGGTGCTCGGGGACTAGCTATGAGGGTATTAACCCCTATACCCTTTACGGCTAAGATTGGGCCGGCCCGGATCAGTGGGTCCGGTCCACCAAAAGACGACGCGCGGCCCGGCTAAACTATTCGGAGTCCCACACAAGGAGTCAAGATAGATTTGGCGATCAAGCAAGACCTCGGTCGGTTAGAATAGGAATCCTTATCCAGTCACCTATGGCAATTGTAACTGACTAGGATTAGTTTCTAGATCTATAACCCTGCCCCTTGGACTATATAAGGTGGGCAGGGGACCCCTCTAAAAAACATCTCTCATTGACATACATCAATACAATCAGACGCAGGACATAGGTATTACGCCTTCTTGGCGGCCGAACCTGGATAAAACCTCGTGTGTCTTGCGTCACCATCTTGTTTGTGGTTTGCGCATCTGTCTGCCGACAATCTACTACCTTGGGCATACCCCTAGGTAGACTGCCGATCATATTTCTTCGATAGTTGATGAACACTTTTCTACCACTGGTGCCCTTCCCAGCCAGCCTACCCTTGTGACGAGAATCGGGTTTACCAATCCCTTTCTATACTTTTAGGTACTCTTGACAGCACTTGACGACTTCTTCAGTATTGTAACCTTCTATCATGGAGCCCTCTGGATATGCTCGATTATGCATGTATCGACTTAGAACCGACATGAACCGCTCGTAGGACCACATTTCATGCAAGTAGCAAGGGCTCAGCGCCTGTATCTGATGAACCATGTGAATCATGAGATGTGGCATTATATCAAAAAAAGCAGGAGGTAAACACATCTCTAGTTGGTTTTGTGTCTCCACCACAAATTCATGTAGGTCACTCAGCTCTTGCTTGCCAATCGTCTTCTATGAGATCTTTGAAAAGAAGTAGCACATGCGGGTGATGGCCATTTTCAAGAACTCTGGCTTTATAGCCTTGATTGCAATAGGTAGAAACACTGTCAGCATCATATGACAATCGTGAGCCTTGCAGTGTGTTATTGACAAGTCCTTCATCGACACTAGCTTCTTCACATTTACTGAAAACCTAATCGGGACTTTGACCCCCCTCAAAAAAGTGCATATAGTTCTCTTCTCGTCTGGTGTAAGGTTGAAGCACGCCGCGGGCAGAGTGTATTTTCCATTAGCCTCAGGTACCAGGTGAAGCTGTGGCATCACGTTTAGCTGCACCATGTCTTTCCGTGCTTTCAGACCATCCTTTGACTTGCCTATGTCCATCAAGGTAGCAATGAGACTCTCAAAGACATTCTTCTGCACGTGCATAGCATCAATGGCATGGGGACCTCCAAGTCTAGCCAATAAGGCAGATACTGAAAGAAGATCGATTGTTTCTTGAAAGGTATGCCTTCTACAAGAGGTGTGCTTCTATCTCTGTTCGTCCCATCTGAATTCTTCTTTCCATAGACGATGCGTATGTTTTTCACCATTCTATACACGTGTTCTCCGTTATGACGTCTCTCTAGAGGGGGTTCAATCTCCGAGGTGTTGTCATAAAATCTAAAGAACAATTTGCTACGGTACTTGTGACTTGTCTTTAAGAAGCATCGGTTCCTTATGTAAACTATCTTCTTGGATGCATCTAGGTACACCCATGTAGTACCATCCAAGAAAACCAAGCATCCCATCTTCCCTTTGATTTGTCCAGACAAAGCAAACATCGCAGGGTAATCACTGGTAGTAACAAATATTATTGCTCTACATACGAAGTTCTCCTTTCGGAATGCATCATACATCGGCTCCCCATGGCTCCATAGCCTCTCCATTTCTTGCATCAAAGGCTCGAGGAACATGTCTATATCAATGCCTGGTTGTTTAGGGCCAGAAATAAGAATAGTGAGGAGAAGGTACTTTCTCTTCTGACACAACCATGTTGGGATGTTGTACATGGTCAAGATCACTGGCCAAGTCTTGTGGTCGCTCATCCTCTCATTGAAGGGATTCATTCCATCGGTGCCCAAGCCAAATCCTACATTCCTTGTGTCATCGCTGAATTCTTTGTGCTTCTCATCGAACCTTTGCCACTGACTACAATCAGTCGGGTGTGCAATCTTATCATCATCCACCTTGCGCTCATCATCCCACCATGTCATGAGTACAGCTTCTTTAGGGTTTAGGAAGATACGTCTTAAGTGGTCGGTCACTGGCATGTACCACATTACCAAGACAGGAATTCTTCTCTGCTTTGCATCGTTGCCTAATGGAGTGTCCTCTAGGGGTTGAGATTCTTATACCACCTTTTTTGTACCCTTTTTATTCCTCTTTTTCCCCATGGAGGTTTTATCCCCACCATAAAGGTCATTGTTCTTGTACTGGCTAGCCCCACACCGGGGACATTTATCCAATGACTTGAACGTTTCGCCATGAAAAATTATACAGTGGTTGGGGCATGCATGGATTTTTTGAACCCCCATTGTCAATGGACTTATGACCTTCTTCGCTTGATATGTGTTGGCGGGAACTGAGTTTGGTTGTGGCAGCACCCATGACAGGAGATGTAATAGATCATTAAAACTATAGTCTGACCAGCCGTACTTAGCCTTCAGGATGAGTAGCTCAAGCACAAAATGTAGCAATGTCCAATGTGTCGAACAACCCTTTTCAACACCATACACAGTCTCCTTCGATGTTTTTGTCACCCTTTCCAAATTTTCTAGATCTTTTGGGCTATTTAGTAAAATCTCTGGTCCAAGGGCTCGAATCATGTCCTCTAAATTATCTTCATCCCCAACACGTGCTCCACCATCATTATTGGCACCACCTTCATCGTTACCATCCCAACCACCAGCATCACCACCTTGTTCATTGCCAAACTCGGAATCCATTTGTGCATCAAGCTCTGTTGAATATTGGGACAGGGATTCTAGAGTTTCGTCGTCGTATTCCTCCTCATCCTCGTCATTAACAATAACCGTTTCACCATGATAAATCTACACTGTGTAGTCCTCAATAAATCCTCGCATAATTAAATATGATCTGATGATAGTCACATCTGTCCATGCCATACGGTTCTTGCAATCTTTATAGGGACAAATAATTGTATCCTTATTCTCTGTCAATGTCGTTGCATGCTTCTTTGCGGCTTCAATAAATTTATCCACCTCTTCACGGAAAACTACCTTGAACCTTAACGAACCATACATCCAAGAGTTCTTATACTCCATCTTTTACAACAACAACAAAACAAACATTAAAGGACTACTTATTTAGATATATATAAAAATGAATCAAATTAATAATTACTTGAGAATAATTGTATATACTTTAGATATATATGAACATAAATCAAATATAATTATATGAAGCATACAAACACACCATGGTAGAGAAAAATTAATTAATGGCCTATTTATCCATAAATAATTAAAATACATATTTGTTGATTACAATAAACAATTTCAAAGACAACAATTAGCAACAATTATATTTTATCTAATATCTTTCATGCAAACCCTAGTCCAATTTCATCAAACACAAATTTACAAAAATGAAATTAATAAAAAACCAAACCCTAGATCTAGATCTACATGCACATGAAACATTCATAAAACTAACTAATTGTTCACTAAAATCAAGAAATATGGACCAAATAAGGGTATGATCTTGTTCCCCTACCTAAGTTATCCTAGTACATTCAAAACTTGGGTCTAATTTGCTTTATAAATAGCTCAAGCACCATAGAAGAGAGAAAAACAAAACTCTAATTACTCACTAAACAACCATTAAAACTTTAAAAAAAGTGTGGAATAGCATTTCTTTACCTTCTACAACCTCTCCACCAAAGGATTTGAGACCAAAACATTCACCCTTAGTAGAGAAATTTTTAGGAGGTGCCCAAGGCTTCCCCACCTTTCTTTTACGGGTTGGAGTGAGTGATCTGAGGAGGAAGAAGGTGTTGCAGTTTTTATATATGTGGGTCATTTATAGGTGTGGCTGGTGATTGAGCCGCCCCTACAAATAGCAGATAATTATACGCGGGGTATTTGTAGGGGCGGTTCAATCACCGGCCGCCCCTACAAATAGAAACACCGGGGGCGGCTAGTGAGTGAGCCGCCCCTACAAATCAGACCCATTTGTAGGGGCAGCTCGTATCACCAGCCACCCCTGCTGTTCCATTTGTAGGGGCAGCTGGTCTGTGGGCTTCCGAGCATATCACTGTAGGGGCGGCTCCATCACCAGCCGCCCCTGCAAAAAATTTGTCTCGTTGTTACAAACCGTTTTTCACGTAGTGTGCGTAGCTTCTGCAAACGCGGGCAGCTCGCCGACGACAAGAGGCGGGACAGAAGGTGAACACTGCCGGCTTCCATCCTGATCCATTCGAGCAAAAGATCCGCGAATGATGTGAATTCCATGGCAGTGGGGAGCCAGAGCCTTGCGCTGCCTAATGCCAATCGCATGGCCTCCAACCTTACCGGGCTAGCAGGGAGCACATCAAGAAACACAACGGGCTCATATTCGTCGTGGCCCGTCCGCTCCATAGATAACATATGTCCAAAAATATGGCAGACGCATGTTCACGCTGAAAGACTTCACCCCGTGCTGAAAAGCCTACCAGATCCATCCTTGTATGGCATCCACGGACGCCGGCATCAGCCGTTCCAGGTAGCGCTCACCGTCAGGATCCCTGATGCCTCCCACTCCATTGCGGAAAGCATTCACCGACGCCGGCGGCATGTCATCTTGGTATGGGTCATCAGGGTGAGGTGAGTGTCTGGTATACGAGATCGCCAGCCTCTCAATGGCGCAGCCGGATTGGGTACACAGGGCAAGGGCGTCGTTAATGGAGGAGACGTACTGCATCAAGGCGGCGCATTCTTCGACGTCGGTGGCTTCCCACACGGACCAAGAGATGAAACTGAGCGTGGCCACGCGCTTCCAGAGTCCGAGCCACCGCCGCGAGAGCGCGCTCATGCGCACCGCGTCCCTCGCATCGCCCAACAGCTCGAGGCCGCTGATCTGGTCGACGACGTCACCGGCCGATGGGGTTAGCCTTGCTCGTTTCCTGTTTCGCGTCTCCTCCGCCGTCGAATCGTCCATGAATAACATGGCTCTCGGCTGGTGGCTAGGGCTCGCTCTTTCCGTAGATGCGGGGAACTAGTCAACTATATCGATGCACTACGTATCGTAGCGGCGAGTGCCTTGCTGGGAATATCCTTATATTTATATCTATATCTATATCTATATCTATATCTATACGTAATATTAAAAAGACAAAATTTCTTGCTGCCCTAAATTTTTGTCCAACTTAATCCTAAACTGACTACGAGTAAAAATTAAGAAAATACTATGTATATATGTATACCCAGCTAGCCCAATCACCGACCACCACCGACCGACTCGGAAAGCCCCAAACACTGTTTTTCTCCCGTTTGGACATCCAAGCGCCTGATTTTTTCGTGTAAAAACTTTTCCGTCCGTGTCCTTCGCAATTTTTTTGGTTTTTTCGCGTTTGCCTTTTCCGCTTGTTCATATCTTTCGTTTATTCCGTAGATCAGCATGATCTGATTGATTATTCATGATTACCACTAGCATATCAATTGTAACGATCAATATTTCCCGCATCAACCTTTACACGGCCGGCACACCGGAAGCGGTCACTACCGGAATCCTCAAATTTGTCGAGTATTTTTATGTTTGTCGAGTGTATTCCCTCGGACACTCGGCGAACAAATTCTGTGCTGAGTGCTGTTCTAAAAACACTCGCAAAAAAAAAACACTCGGCAAATATGAATTTTGCTGAGTGTCAAAAAAAAACACTCGACAAAGAGGTGGTTTCCGATGAAGGACACGTGGACGCCTAAGAGGGGGGTTGAATTAGGCAACTTAAAATTCTAACTCCAAACTATGGCCCCTTTTTCTACTTCTAGCAAAACCTATGCAAAAGATAATCTATCTAGATGTGCAACTACGGTTTTCCTAGTGTGTTGCTATCTCTACCGTAAATGATAATAATATGATCAAAGTAAATGCGGAAGCTTAAAGAGTAAGGTAGAGATATGCAAACTCCCATCGACGACTCCGGTATTTTTACCAAGGTATCGAGAAGCGCGCAAGCTTCCCCCTAGTCCTCGTTGTAGCCCCTCGCAAGGAATCCCTCTCAAGGGCCAAGCTCCCGGTCGGGTAACTCCGTGGATAGCCTCGGGCCTTCCCCACGCGCAAGTGGGTCTCCGATGTGCCTTCCGGCAAGCCTCTCCCGGATGCTCCCCGCCGTCTTCACTATCAAGCTTTCGGCCGAAACGCCGCGGGCCTTGTTCCCTTCGGTACACGGTGGCGGCCGCACCACAAACGCGGTTGGTGCGATCTCGCAAGACTTCAAGCCCCTCCGATGTACAACTCTTGTGCTCGCAAGCACGGGGTGGCAAGAGGTATGCAAACCTCACTAAACACTAAGTAAACACCTAGAGCAAGCGCATAAGCGGTGGTCTAATCAACCTAAGCACTTTGCAAAGCACTTATGCTAATCACCTGATGAAACACTAAGCACTATGCTTGCCTTTGGTCCTCCAAATTCTCCCCCTTTGGCATCAAACACTAAAAAGGAAGACATTAGTAGCACAAGGGAGGCTCAAAATTTCATGATCCTTTGTGTAGAGAGTGAAATGGATCACAAAATTTGACTCTCGCATTATATAGACTAAGCTCCCGCTAAGTATATGCATACATATGGTAGAAAGCAAAGCATATGCATAATTAGCAATTTGTTGCACAAGAGAGTTTAATCTATATAATGCATGGAGAAAGCATATGAATATGAAATAAAATCAACATGATGATGCCAATTGAAGAACGATGCTTCTCTTCGGGGACTCCATTTTCCTTGCAATGAGACTACTACACACATGATAAACTTGAAAAAGGTATTAGTCTCAAAGCATCCATCTTATAGATGATCCTCCCCCTAAATTTGTGCATGGAGATATGGAATACTTGTAGTACTCATGCACAATTGATTTTGGAGTCAGAATACCACTTGAAAGATGATATTTGGGAGAAAATTATCTACAATTTGGACTTTGGCACATATTAGATAAACAATAGTAAGACAAGCTATGTGCCGTGCTCCTAAGCAATTTTAAACCATGTAGGTTTGCTCCAAGCCTACCATATGAAAATACCTAGTGTATGCATGACAAAAGATATAAGCATGCAAATGCAACCCTAGGTATGAAGAGTAACTAGATGCTTAAAGATACCAATTGTATGAAAATCTAATTGCAAGATGTACCAAAAAAGTAATAACATCTAGTTACCTAACATGGGAAGGGGAATTTGGGTCCATAGTAATCACTAACCCACTTGGCAATGATTTTGTCCATCATGATGCACCCCATGAAATGCACCCATACTTTGCCAAGCCTCCAAATTCCCCGAAGTCCGACGGACTTCTCACTTCCCTTTTGGGATCCAAACATTCTTGGTGCTCTTCATGTTGGAGATGATTTCCTTTGGCACCCAAAAGCGTTTGACCCCTTTGTTGGCTTGCTTGTTCACTTTGATGGCCACCACCTTGTCATTTTTCTTCTTCTTCAAGAGATAAGGTGTGGAGGTCTTCTTGTCCACCTTGTTGGTGTAGGTGTTGGAGAGCTTGCTTATTTGCTTTTTCTCCTTCTTCTTTGCTCCTCCCCCATTCTTCACCTTGCACTCATAGGACTTGTGGCCTTCTTTGTGGCACACGTAGCAAACCACGGTTTGTCCTTCATCAAGCTTCTTCACTCCCTTGATGGTGTTATCTTGATGAAGTTGGGTTTGCTTCGCCTTGCCTTTCACTTGAGTTAAGTCCTTGGTGAGGCGAACTACTTCTTGCTTGAGTTGCTCATTCTCCTTTACAACCTCTTGTGTGCATGTATCTACAATCACTTTCTCAACACAAGCTTGGTTGCACAAGGGTGAGTCTAAATATAAATCATTGCAAGAAGTAGAGGCATCCTTTTTAATTATGTCATTTCTTTTAGATGCCTTGGTGGAGGTTAAATTGACGGCCTCAAGATTAGCAACTTTATTAGTTAGCTCATCACAATGTTTGCACATGATTTCCATTTTAACAAGCAAACTTTGATAATCATTTTGTGAGATAGCTAACTTTTCTTTTAATTTTTCATTTTTCTTTTCAAGTTGCTTATCATTAATTGTGCATGCACTTGTTGTTGCACTAGCCTCAAGTTGCTCAATTTTAGTAGATAGTTCAACATTGAGATTTGCAAAGTTTTCATATTGTTCAAGCAAATTCTTGTATGCTTCTTGTGAACTACCTAGCTCTTCTTTTAAAGTTTTGAGCTTCTTTTGTTGACTAGTGCAAACTTTAGCATATTTAAGATTTTGTTGCACAATTGTATTGTAAGAAGGCAAATCATCATCACTATCACTCTCACTAGAGGATGAGCTTTCGTTACCTCGTGCCATAAGGCACTTACGGGAAGAGCTTGATGATGAGTGCTTGCGCCCATGCCTCTTGTGATGGTCTTCTTCACTTGAAGAGTCATCCCATGATCTTATTGTTGTGAGGGCTTTGTTCTTGCATGCCTTCTTCTTTGTCTTGGGTGTGGGCTTGTTTGGACAAACTTCCACAAAGTGCCCCATCTCGCCGCATCCGTAGCATCCTCTCTTTCTTTGCTCATTTCTTTGATTGGTGAAAATGAGATCTTGAATTTGGATGGGCACACCCTTGACATTGAGCCTTTGGATCATCTTCTCCACCTTGTTGATTAATTTGATTGATTCTTCATCAAGGTCGGAGGTGGAGGAGGGAGATTGATCATCATCACTTGATTCTTCTTCTTCATCATCATCATCCTCATCATCTTCTTCTTCACTTGAGGAGCTTGAGCTTGAGCTTGACTCAACTTTCTTGCTCTTCATCTTTTTCTTCTCGCTACATGCGAGAGCTTTGCCTTTGCTTGATGAAGAAGCTTCTTCTTGACCCATCTTACGTGACATTTCAAATGCCACTAGCTTGCCAATGACAATGCCCGGGGTCATGGTGCTCAAGTTCTCCATGTTGTGAAGGATGGTGATGATGCTTGCATATTTCTTTTGTGGTAGAACGGAGATGATCTTCCTCATGATGTCCGCATCATCTAGCTTTAATAATCCTATTGAATAGAGCTCATTGATAATTAGATTCAATCGAGAATACATATCACGAACAAGCTCATCATCATTCATAGTAAAGGAATCGTAATTTTGTTTAGCTAGACAATATTTTTGCTCACGGACATTACTTGTGCCGTCATGGAGCTCTTGGAGTTTTAACCAAATTTCATGTGCGGTATTGAAAGTGAACACTTGGTTAAAAACATCCATGCTAAAGGATTCAAACAAGCAATTCTTAGCTCTAGTATTGAAATGCATTTCTTTTTCGTCACTCTTTGTGGGTTTTTCGGGATTCTTGATGGGTTTCATCCCGTCACGAGTGACTCTCCATACACCTAAATCAACCGCCTCAAGATGACAAGCCATTCTTGCTTTATAATATGGGAAGTTAGTGCCATCAAATTGTGGAGGCCTAGCGGTATCCATCCCAACCACTCTACAATAGCGTCGGCTCAACGGCGGTTAAGCCAAAGGTCCAAATATGAGCCAACCGGCTTTGATACCAATTGAAGGACACGTGGACGCCTAAGAGGAGGGGTGAATTAGGCAACTTAAAATTCTAACTCCAAACTATGGTCCCTTTTTCTACTTCTAGCAAAACCTATGCAAAAGATAATCTATCTAGATGTGCAACTATGGTTTTGCTAGTGTGTTGCTATCTCTACCGCAAATGATAATAATATGATCAAAGTAAATGCGGAAGCTTAAAGAGTAAGGTAGAGATATGCAAACTCCCGTCGACGACTCCGGTATTTTTACCAAGGTATCGAGAAGCGCGCAAGCTTCCCCCTAGTCCTCGTTGGAGCCCCTTGCAAGGAATCCCTCTCAAGGGCCAAGCTCCCGGTCGGGTAACTCCGTGGATAGCCTCGGGCCTTCCCCACACGCAAGTGGGTCTCCGATGTGCCTTCCGGCAAGCCTCTCCCGGATGCTCCCCGCCGTCTTCACTATCAAGCTTT